TGATACTAAAATCATCAGCATTCATGTACTATTTAGTCTGATTATTGACTAACTTAAATGATATAAACTCAAGTATAAATGAAAATGTTTTGAAAATCAAATTTTCCTTTTACAGTATTACACATTCAAACACTCGAGAATTTGTGTTATGTATTAAACCATCAACCGATTTTGACTACCTAACGATAAGGCCAAGGGGTGTGGCTACGACATAGGCCGCACCACCCCTGCCACATCATCAAAAACACCGCCCCTCCACCGCGGTGGGGGTGCGGTGGAGGCCGCACTGTGCTCCCCAACTTCTTTCAATTTTCATTCCAATTGACCGTTGAACGGTCAGATTTAAAAAAAATGTTTCTTTTTCTTTCCCTTTTAACATTTTAACATTCCTATTTAAACCTCAAACCTTACAATTTTTTTTTATCTTTCTACTACATTTCCTATCAAAAAAATCAAAAAATGCCATCGTTCGATTCTTTTGAAGACTTTGCTGTTATGTTTGATGTTGTTGTCGCAACTGCTAAATTGGCGGAGTAAACGTATGAAACTGCATGGAGTAGCACAGTCGGAAGTGCTGAACGAAGAACCCGAAGATATATTTACAGAAATCGTGAAGAAACAAACCAACGCTTGATACAAGACTACTTTCAAAAGAATGCTACTTTTCAAGCGTACTACTTCCGAAGGCGTTTCAGAATGTTCAAACCTTTGTGCGAACGTATAGTCGAAGATCTAATGAGGGTGTGATTTTTTCCAACAACATCCTGATGCTAGAGGTACACTCGGTTTCACTCATTTACAAAAATGCATAGTTGCACTTCGTCAATTAGAATATAGCATCATGCCTGATGCGTTGGACGAGAGTTTTAGGATGTCCGCTAGGATTGCACGAGATAGTCTCCATTATTTTTGCAAAACTATTATTCAACTTTATGGGCCAAAATATTTACGCAAGCCTATACGTAATGGCATCATTAAATTGCATTCTCATCATGCTAGCGTACATGAATTTCCTAGAATGTTAGGAAGTTTAGATTGTCTACATTGGACATGAGAAAACTGCCTTACCTCACACCATGGTCAATGCAATTTTCCCGAGGTGATCATGGTCATCCAACGATCATACTTGAAGCAGTGACATCATAGGAACTGTGTATTTGACAATTTTTTTTGGTTCTCTTGGTTCGCTTAACAACATTAACGTTCTTAATCGTTCACCTGTATTTAATCGTTCTTAATCGTTTCCTTATGGAATATCTGTAAATGTTTCTATGTTTTTTTATGCGTTCCCCTGCGTTTAACGCGGGTCATAATCTAATATGGAAATGAAAGTAGAAAAAAAAACCTTATGTTCTGTTGTGTAGCACATGATCACCTCCTAATTATATAGTAATAACCAAATTAACTCAAGATCCTTATCTTTGAAAAAACTATAAAAAATTGTCCAGGTATACAAATATATGTTTTTGTTTAATCGTATTTACGTTTAAGAAAATTATTAAAATATTCCCTTCAAAATTATCTTAAGGTCCATGTGTTTGAAAAAGTACATAAATAGTCCTAGACAAATTTTCTAATGATTCATGTATTAAAATTATATTTTATCTAATAATCCTATGTTTGAAAAAATTACAATAACCATTTTTAGAATATTACAGAAATAATCATAAAAATGATGGGTTCTTATGTGATTAGGCCTTGTGGTAACTCTCAACGAGAGTATCCGTGGTCCATGTGACCACGAAAAAAACTCGTGCACACTACCCCGACTAATCGTGGTCGGGCGTGGTCGTGATCCTTCGTGTTCCCGACGACGAATTCAAACGGAGAAGGTGATTGGTGCTTGGTTTTTTTGGCCGTTGAACGGCTATTTTGCCTATTTTTTTTTTCAAACTCAATTCCATAACATAAATAAACCTTCTATTTTCAACAAAACTTACACCTTCATTCTCTAAAACCACAAAACACATATACATGGATTCCACAAAACATATGGAATTTTTAAAAACTTTTGACTCAGATGACGACGTAGAATTCGTCGAGACATTCTTCAACGTTGTGCAACACATTCACGACGAAGAAAGTTCGAATGCTGCTCGTACAAGGACGGTCGTCAATCGTGATCGCCAAGCCGCACACGACTTATTGGTACGTGATTACTTTGCCGATAATTGTCTTTATAATGATGACTCGTTCGAACGTCGTTTCCGTCTGAATAAGGCTATATTTTTACGTATTAGTAATGCTTTAGAATCTCGTTATGATTTTTTCAAACAAAAACCCAACGCTAGAGGAAGAATGGGTTTTAGTAGTATACAAAAATGTGCGGCTGCTCTTAGGTATTTGGGATACGGTATAACATTTGATGCATCTGACGAATACTTGAAAGTATCCGAGAGGACCGCAGTTGAATGTGTATATAGGTGAACCAACTGTCATCCTAGAAGCTGTTGCATCTCAATATTTGTGGATATGGCATGTCTTTTTTGGAGTAGCGGGGTCTAACAACAACCTTAATGTTCTTGGCTAGTCTCCGCTTTTCAACGATATTTGGACCGGCAAAGCACATGATATGACGTTCACGGTGAACGGGAACGCGTACAAATACGGTTACTACCTTGGTGATGGGATATACCCGGATTATTCTACACTGATGAAGGCATACTCGGTTTCCTCGAAGTAAAAAGGCAAAGTTGTTTACAAAAAAACAGGAATCGGCGAGAAAGGATATCGAGAGGGCATTTGGAGTCCTTAAGCAGACATGGCATGTAATGAAATATGCTACACGACTCTGGGATAAAGAAAGAATTAAACGAATGGTCTTAGCATGTACTATAATGCATAATACGATTATTGAAGATGAAGGCCGAACGATTTGCACGTATGATCTGAACGACGTTGTCGTTCCAATTGAGGAGTTCGTACCCGGAACGAATGCGTTTTTAGAGCAAGTTGTTGAAATTCATAACATTGAAACGTGTTTCAATCTTCGAGAAAATGTCGCGGAACATTTGTACCAACGTAGCATGAACGGCGATTAGGTTTTTTATATGTATGTTTGTTTGTTTTTTTAATTAATGTAATGTTTTTTTTTTGCTAGATTAACTAAGTAATGTAGTTTGAAGTTGTAATTTTATTTTTATAATTAATGAAAAACTAGTTTAAAAAAACGAATGCTTTTTAATTATAAAAAATGTAATTTTATTATATTTTTGAATTAAAAAAAATAAAAATAATGATGTGGAGTGGTGTGTTAGTGGTATGTATCCCATGTTGGAGGTAGGGGAATGTTGTGCTGATGTGACACCCACCACATATGTGGTATGTGGTGGGTATAACGGATGACCTTATGTAAGACCATCCGGAGTACTGTCCGTGAAGAGTTTCGTTGTCCACATGTCACCAATCACGAACGTGAACACCACCCAGGTGTCTCATTCTCCATTGTTGTCGTGGAGGATTGTTGTGGGGAGGACAACAGACCACAACCAATAATATTTTTCTTTTTCTCTTAGTCTTTGAGACTTCTTTTTTCTCTCTCTTATAGAGTGTAGTCAGTGTTGCAAAACTCGGCTTACTCGGCCGAGTACTCGACCGATTACTCAGAATCGGGCCTCCACTGAGGCGAGTAATGTGAACTCGGCAATAAAACTCGGATTAAGTCAAACTCGGTAAAAAATCGGTCAACATCTCTCTAACTCGGGCCTACTCGGTATTACCCGGTCTTACTCGGGACTACTCGGTCAAACTCGGCCAACTCGGTCAAAATCGGTCAAACTCGGTCAAACTCGGTCAAATGGTCAAAATTGTCCAAAAAAGAGAAAAAAATCAAGAATTTCAAGATTAATATGTATAATACACTTAATGATTTAGTATTTAACACACACATGTGATTATTACTACATATATATCTTAAATTTTCAATAATTATTCACGAAGTGGGACAATTGTGTGTATTTTAGTTTTTATGTATTCACATGTATCTAATTTTGTTATATATTTCAATCAAATTATAATTTAAACTTGTGATTATGACATATAATTTTCCTAAAAATATTTCCACGTGAATTACCGAATCCGAGTACTATATAATTTTCCTAAAAATATTTCCACGTGAATTACCGAATCCGAGTACTCCCGAGTACTCGCTACCCCCGAGCAGGTACCGAGTAACGAGTTCTACAACCGTGGGTGTAGTCGAGAGTAGGGGTGTGCGCGGTGCGGTTTAGAGCCAAAACCGCAAACCGCACCGCATATGCGGTTTGAGTTATTTAGAAACCGCAAACCGCACCGCGAATGTTCAAAACCGCATTATGCGGTGCGGTTTGGTGCGGGCGGTTTATACGGTTTACATGCGGTTTTGCGGTTTGATTAATTATTAACTTTAAAATTAATGATAATACTATCATTGTCATCACTAACGGCTCACTAAGTGGTCATTAAGAAATTTGGTGGTCAAATAATTATGGTCATTAACTACTTATGAATATACATTAGTTAAGAAAACATAGTGACCATAAAATAATGGTCACTGAATCTTAGTTGAAAATGAATTTGAGACAAAAACATATGGTAACTGCGTTAAATTTTGGATTAATTGATATTATATTTTAAAAACTTAAGATAATGTCACTAACTTAAGATAATGTCATTAATTGATTTTATCAATGCGGTGCGGTTTAAACCGCAATTTTGTAATCGTAAACCGCAAACAGCACCGCATAATGCGGTTTAACAAAAATACAAACCGCAAACCGCACCGCGAGTGTTTTAAACCGTGTTATCCGGTGCGGTTTGGTACGGTTTGGGCGGTTTATGCGGTTTGTGCGGTTTATTGCACACTCCTAGTCGAGAGTACTCCAGTGGTTTGTGGTGACTGACTTGGAAGCTCACCTTTGGCATGGAGAGTATTCATTATAGCCTAATCGTGGCAAAATCAAAGAAAGAGATCTCTTATGGAAATACTGGCTAATTCGGTTTGCTATCAGTTAATCCCGCTCATGGTTCCTCAGCCCTCGTTCCCATCTCCCCTCTCTCCCAGCCTCACCCCCGGTTGCCGTTCATCGTCGCTGCAGTTCATTGCCTCCACAGTTCGTTACTTTATGATAAACTGGCGTCATCAAGGTTAAATTTAAATCTTCTTCTCTTCCTTAATCGATTCTTTTCTTCCTGGCTTGTTTATTTATTTATTAATTAATTTCCCTTCTCTTTATCGCCTTATGTTTCTGCTTTAAAACCTAGAAAACCAGAGAAAAATTTCTGTATCATTTCTTCGCTGAACTCCCTAGTTTTATCTATATATTGAAATAGCTTATGTTTTTCGTCTGAAATTTGATTTGTAGGTGGAGTTATGATACAAGTTTACATGAAAATGGGTCTTAGTAAGCATATTTAGTTAAAATACGAGTGTGTATATAATAAAGAAGGGCATTGGCCTAAGTGGTACATTCTAACAATGATAGCACTATTATATACATTAGATCAATTGCTTATGAAGGGCATCATATGGATGATTCCTCTTCCAAACTTCCTCTATTTCTTCTGCTCATACATTTGGCTACAAAATCTTCATCGTCAACTATTCTCCAATATTAGCTGTTTCTTGATGATATAGCTTTTGATTGACCGTTATTTAGTTCAGCCTTAATCAACTGGAGGAATAATAAATTCCTGATGATGCTTTCCCTTGAAGGAGAGTTTTGTAGTAATAGATTATTGCACGTGAAACATCTTTTGTTTTCTGGGGACCCATGTGATCAGAATAATCAAATTTTGAATTGATTGCATTCTATAGAAGGAGATTATATATTGTTGTAGTTATAGATTCATGTTTTTATATGTGTAGGTGATTCATCTTATTAAATCTTCAAGTGATATGAATTTTCGTTGTTGAGTTGTCTGGATTTTTATTAGAAGGTGCCTTTTGAATTGATTTTTTTGTGAAAATTGTTTTTTGAATGTAAGGGTAGAGTGGCCATTTAGGCTCGTTCAACGTCATTACACAGTCCCAGCTCAAAACCCTGGGCCTAAACACCGGCTCAAGCCCTAATATTCTGTGGGTAAAGTATTCCTCCAGAGTATCTCAATTTTGCTGGTCTTTGTTTGTAACTTGATTATGTGCCCTCACTCAAACTTAATATTTCAATATTATAATTTCTGATTTCTTAGGTTTTATGCTTTGATTAATTTTGGTTATATATTGCTTGTTTTTTCATTCATTTTGGGGTTTAATAGTTTAGACAAGACACGTGCTTCTATACAACTCCATATATGATGCTAATGAATCAGTTATTATATGTTAGCTTATTGTCCTGATTTTCTCCATTGTATAATCCATGGTTTGTTTGAATTTTGGTATGGCTTTGATTACAAGAAGCATTGGTATAGGCAAAGGTGTATTTAGGAAGGAAACAGAGTAGGTGCAAGTGCAACCCTTTGTGTTCATCAAGAACATTTTGACCATGTGGCTCATCTACAATTTTCAAGTACTATAAAGAACTGCTAATGTCATTTTGGACATTTTAAATATTCATAGGCATAGTTAGATTGTATAACCTTTATCAATGACCGCGTCTGTATTAGTGTGAATACTTGTCCCTTGTTTATAACTATTGTCTCTTTTGCATTTACGAAGGCCTTAAATTTATTTATTATTTATTTATTTGTTTATTTATTTTTTGCAAATGTAGGAATGGTAAAAGACTGGAGTATGACTAGAAACCAGAATCGTTATACATTTAGAAAAAATCCTGACAACAGTGGTGTGGCTTCTTTATGTTATCATGCAACTGGAGTTGATTTTGTCATTCAGTGGAGTTTGCAAGTCATATAGTTCATTGCAATATATAACAGGAAAAGGTTTATGGGTTCCAAAATAACCACCCATGTTGATACATGGATCTTTGCATATTTTATAAGAAAGACTAGTGTTGTGTTACCTACAGGATATTGAAAGAAGAGTGTTTAAAACCCATGACTTCTGGCTTGTGAATCCCGTCAGAAGGCATGAACTTCATTTCCCTAAGGCCTAATGTCTGTTTTTCTGTTGATGCTGCACCTGAAATAGGAGTTAGGGCTATCCTTATTTTTTAACCTTCAATATCTGAGTGGGTGTTTGCCATCTTAAATAGTTCCTAAAATATGGTTCTCTACAGCGGGTAATGGAGCATGGGATCATGTCTGCTCTACTTTGCTTATTCTTGATTTACATCTTTATCAAGGGGAAGATATATATATATATATATATATATATATATATATATATATATTCTGTAATCATCGGTTTTGATTTATATGTTGAAACATTTTTAAGATTTTGTGAATTAGCATTTGTTGCTTTGGATTTTGCAATCTTCATGTTTAAGCAGTTTCAATGTCACTCATGCTTTTGATCGATTAGATTGTTTTTAGCACCTTTAGCATATAGCATAATCCATTTTCTTTTAGTTTGCGTTTGAGTGGTAAAATTCAAACATACCAAATTGAGCTACTATTATTACTGCCTCATCACCCTGATGATCCATCATCAAAAGTAAAGCTACCTGTCAGATCTCCGTAATTCCTTTGATTTTGCTGTTAGTAATATTATTAAGATTGGGATTTCGTTGTACATTCTATTTCTGCAAGTTATCATAATTTGCCTATTTTAGTTCACTTCCCATAAAAATATATACGAAACAGTTTATATGTTTCATTTTTGCCATTTCTGATTTGTTTGGTTTTTATAGGATTGAGTTGTGACTTGTGTGTGTTTGTGTATGTTGCTGTAAAAATTTCCATCTGTTTACTTGTAGGAAGCAAGCATTCTATGACACTTTACCTCGATGGAGTGCTTATGCTATTTGTTTCCTGCAATGAATCCCATCATTTACAAGGTACGTTTCTTTATCATCATATAGTTGACTAATTATTTTGATCCTGATTTTACAGTTGCAATCAAGCCATCTTATATATTTCATATTGCATATCATGTACTTGGGTTCCATAACCATTTTGCCTTTATTTATTTTTTATTTTTTTGAGTTGAATAGATGGTTAATCAAGGCGTATGGAGTAAGTAACTCATACTATATAAGAAAATATTGTGTGAGGAGCTGTTGTAAATACATTTTTTGTATGTCTATTTATTATGGATGATGAAGTTTCTTAGTATACTAATGCATACCAGAAATTATATGCTCTAATACAGCATTGAATCGCAGGTGCAAGCACAATGTTCACATGTGAAGTCACGTGCATTCGCTGCGTCTTGTTAAGGGGTATGATTGTAATTTCTCATCCAAATAGAACCCTGATGTTACCCCTCAATTCCCATCTCATCTCTAGTATTTGTGCTTTTCTCGAGTACAAATTTGCAATCCCTAGAACTCCACCTTCAACGCCGTGTCTTTACCATTGCAGGTATATTTTTCCCCTTGGCTTCTATACATGAGTGTTTCCTCTTGTCGAGTTATCTTCTGTGTGCACTCTACACCCTAGTTTTCATTATTAAAACCTTTTCCATAATTTGATTTGAAGTTCAGGCTAAAAAATCTAACTTAATTGTTAAAAGATCTGATATAATTTCTTGAGGATTTTATCCTAGAAATCCGATCATTTTCCTCTAATCTGATTGTTTTTCCTTAATTTGGTTTTTGACCTGATTTGAGTTTTTTGCCCTAGATTTTTTCAATGTGTTCTAGTCAGTTCAATTTGGTTAATTAGCACTGGAGTTTGTACTTTACAGTTAATAAATCTGCAATAATGTTTGCAAAATGAGCTTTTGGATCTCTATACGATGATTTAATATTTCTGATCTAATACTTGGATTCTCACATGAAAATCGAGTTTCCATATAGGCAAAATTGCCGCTAAAAACCTTCAAAAAGGGCGTTTATTTTTTGGGTTCTTACCTTTCAGGTATCAAGTCTCAGTTGAAGGAAATTCATTTAATTTTGTTGCTTTTATGTGTTCTGGAAAGCAAGTTACACTTGATCCTCTTCTCAATGTGGTAGAGGGTCATGTAAGCCTATGATACTGTTTCTTCTGTGTGTTCCGGTACAATGAAAACTGCAAAATGGAAACATTGCAGTGATGGAGAAAATGTTGTATATTTTGTATCTGTATTTTGTGTTCTCCTGATGATTTTATAGGGAAGAACATACATGGATTTAGGAAACTTGTAACTATTTGCAATCTTAATTTTTTCGATTTATTTGTTTAGGGTAAATGTCTGTTATAAATCAGTGCACTTAATAGTACTGACCCATTTGCAACAACTTTTACCAAGTAGAAGATTTACAATTTTGCAAGCACTATTTTTGTTAAATGCGTCCATTTCTTCTAGAATTGCTAGTTTCCAGTCAGTGTTGATTTTGCGAAAAGTGTTGGTGAGGTCCAAATAAAGTACAGGGACCGTTTAAAGCTAAAAGTGACACTTTAATGTACTTTTATGTCAATAACCCTTCTTTTAAATGTATGTATATATGTGTACGCTTACAACTCTTGTATCTTATATGAAATTTGCATATTGGAATGGCCAGGACAAGGAGTATGACCAGAAATCAGAATCGTGATGGTGCATCATCATCGAGCAGGAAGAGAGTCAATGGTGGTGTGGCACCTTGGTCAGACCTTAACCCTGATGTGCTTTTTTTAGTTATGATGAAACTGGGAGTGATTGATTTTCTAGCTTTTGGTGGTGTGTGCAAGACGTGGAGGTCACTCGCACTCAATAATAAGAAGATTTTTATGGCATCCAGACCACCCATGTTGATGTCAATCTCTGATCCTTCTTATGAGAAGAAAGAGTGCTACTGCTGTCTAGAGGACTTTGAAGGTAGAAAGTTCAAAACCTTCCTTCCCCATGCTGCTGGCAGGATCTGTGTTGGAATAACTTGTGGTTACCTGATCTTGTTCGGAGGGGAAACCAAAGACTTCTGGCTTGTAAATCTTATCACAAGGCACCAACTTCATTTCCCTTGTTTCCCCTTTAATGCACGTACTGATCTAGCAAGAATGAGAGGTATCCTTGTCTTTTCACCTTCGGTATCTGGGTGGGTGTTTGTGGTGTTGCGTACATTCTCCTGTCAAATTTGGTTTTCTATAGCGGGTACACGAGCATGGAGTCGTATCTCCACTTTCCTCACGATTGATTTACATGCTTTCAAGGGGAAGATATATACCCTAAACATCTGTTGTCGTTTATGTGAAATGAGACTCACTCCAGAGCCCAAATTGACTTTACTCCAAACCAAGAATATTCCACCGCCAGGCTTCTTTTTTCCGGAGTTTGTAAGTTCGGGTGAAAACCTTTATGTGATGGACCGTGGGTTAAAAGATTCATACACGGCTCATGAACTAGATTTTGAGGAAATGAAGTGGGTGTCGTCGGAAAAAACATTAGAAGAACGTGCGTTCTTTGTTAATGGCTTCAAGTATTCTTCTGCTATTAAATCAGACTTGTGGGTTGATCATCGGTCACTATATGAGAGATATGCTTACTTCCATTCCACCATTGATACAAGTCGAAAAGGCGGGTTCCTTCCTTCATACATCTGGTACTTCCCCAATGATTGTTTGAATGTTAATCTCTTAGATGAATGATGACTTGGATCAGATGCACTCTTATCTTGGTTTTTATCTTTGCATATGTTGAACATTTTCAAGATGTTTCATCCATGGATTTGGATTTTTAGTTTATTGTTCAAAGATTTTGGTTGTCACTCAACGTTTGCTTTTAGCTATAAATGTTCTTTATTACAATTTGGTGTCCTTTGCTTTCAAATATGTGCCTACTGCATTATGTGTAGCACATTGGCACATGTTGTTAAACGTCCATACACCATTAAAAAATTCTTTGGGTTTTTTAGTAGCAACTCGTAGCGAGATGCACGGGTGAAATGTATCATGCTTGTAGATGCTAATTATATAGGGAGGAGGAATTTCAGTAACCTTGTTATTTTGACTCAAAGTGGTCCTTAAGACAGGTGATATCGTGATATCAGGTTTAATGACAACTTCAAATAAAAAAAATAACATGTTCAGTAACCTTTTACTAGTAACTAAATGAGCAAAAATTAAATAGTATCATTATGATTTATGATGATACATAAACAATATTCAAAATCTTTTCTTTTCAAATATATATAATTTTGAAAATATAGAAATAAGATGATCTCCATATCTATTTTACTTCTCTTTTAAACATGATTGCTACAAGAAACGCGAGTATTAGCGGCAACCATAATAAATCATGGGCCGACATTGGTGCCTTCGACCCGCTAAACGCTGAGAGGAGACTCCCCTCAATCTGTTGAAATTCAGATAATTGCTTGGACTGCTGATCTGGAATGTCCCCGAACTAAATAATCAATAAAATTCCAATTAAATATTGGGTCTTAAACTATAACTTATGAATCCTATTCATTTGTCCAACTCCCAGGGTAAAAGACCATTTATCTTTTCCTCACGTGTCCCAACAACTAAGGCCCAACCCAATGCTCCAAAAGCCCCAATATGGCCCAAAATCCTAAATGGCACCCAAAGCCCATTATGGGCCTAATCCAAGAAGGCCCAATGCCAAACAATTCCCCAAAGTCATCTAATGCCATATAAGTTTAAGGTCCAATCCCAATCAATACAAAGCCCAAATAATCCAAGCCTACTACTTCATCGACCCACTGGTTAGCGTATGCTAGGCGTACCTGGCTCGTACGCCCTGCGTATGCGACTGATCCAGAAAAGGGGCGCACAACCAATACGTCCAGCGTACTCAGAACTACGCCCATCGTACTGTCCTAACTCCAAGTCCTTGCTCAAAAGTCTTAACCACTTAAGAAGTTAACATCCAATCCTCAAATTAGCATCATATTAAGGCCTTAAACAATAAAGTCGAAGACTTTAAGCCTTTGCATGGCTAAAAACACCCAAAGTCCAAATCTAGCATTTAAACTCCATTAAGAGGAACATCAACCTTGCATGGTTGAGCTAAAATCGTCAAGCTATCATTTTTATGTACAAGGGACCTCAGAAAAGCCTAGATATATCACCCCAAGTTGTAGGAGTAGCCCATACTCCCAAACAAGGCTTAAAGGACCGAAAAATGCACAAATAAAGCCCTAAACTAGATCTATCATAAGGAACCATCAACTTAGGAGCTTTATACCTCAAATGGATTGCAAAGTTGATGAAGATCCTGGATCTTCAAGCTCCAAGACCACCAAAGCTTCACCACCAAGCTTCACTTCCTTCAAGGGGCCCAAAAATCACTACAAAATCACACAATGGCTCACAAACACTCAAATGAGGCTAGGGTTTCGTTCTTAGGGTTTGGAGAAGTGAAGGTTGACCATAAGATGCTCACAAGGCAACATAAGTTGATTAAATAGGGCACAAACCCTAAAAATTAGGGTTTTCCCCTGCTTAGCGTACGCCCAACGTACTCCCATGTATGCCAAGTGTACGTAGGTGCCTCCGCGTCCAACCCTCGAGCCAGTACGCCCAAAGTACTCGTAGAGTACGCCTAACATACTCGGTTAGGGACCAAAATGAGAAGAATTTACAAATAAGGGTTAAAAGAAGCATACCTAAAATTGCAAATGTTACAATTCTCCCCCACTTGAATAAGACATCGTCCTCGAAGTACATTGCGGAAAACAGCCCCGGATAATCCTCTCTCATCTCGTCCTCGGGCTCCCACGTCCATTCTGAACCCTTGTGGTGTTGCCACTGCACCTTCACCAACTCAAAAACATTTTTCCTCAAGGTCTTCGTCTTGCTGTCAGGAATCGCCACCGGTCTCTCGATATAGTTTAGACGATCATCCACCTGAATATCCTCCACTGGAACCACTACGGAATCATCAAGCAAACATTTTCGCAGTTGAGAGACATGAAACGTGGTATGGATCTGACTAAGCTCCTCGGGAAGATACAAGCGATAAGCAAACCAGCCCACCCCGACCAAAACCTTTAAAGGATCGATGTACCTGGGTCCCAAATTGCCCTTCTTCCTGAATCAGATGACACCTTCAGGAGAACCATATCCCCAACCTGGAACTCTAGATCTGATCGGTGCTTGTCGGCATAGCTCTTCTGTCGACTCTGTGTTGTCTGAAGTCTACTCCGAACCTGGTAAATCAACTCGGTGGTCTTGAGTACCACTTTAGTCCTCCCCATGACTCGCTGACCGAGCTCACCACAACATATCGGGGTCCTGCACTTCCACCCATAGAGCATCTCAAAAGGAGGTCGATCGATGCTGGCATGATAAATGTTGTTATACGAAAAACTCCGCCAAAGGGAGATACGTATGCCAACTCCCACCAAAATCCAATACACATGCCCAAAGCATATCCTCCAATGTTTGGATAGTCCGCTCACTCTGTCCATCAATCTGCGGGTGGAAAGTTGTGCTGAAGTGCAGACGGGTACCCAACTCCTCATGAAACCTCTTGCTAAACCTGGAAGTAAACCGGACATCCCTATCTGAAACCACTGGAACTGGCACTCCATGCCGTGCCGCAACCTCGCTGATGTAAATGACGGCCAACTTCTCGGCAGGGATACTCTCCTGAATCGGAATGAAATAAACGCTCTTGGTTAATCGATCCACGATAACCCATATCGAATCCACTCCACACGCTGTTCGTGGTAATTTCATGATGAAATCCATGGTGATCTCATCCCATTTACAAACAGGAACGTCTAGCAGCTGCAACTTGTCATGAGGTCGCTGATGTTCGACCTTGACTTTCTTGCAAGTCAAGCACCTCTCTATGTATCGGGCCACATCCCGCTTCATACATGGCCACCAATAGTCAGGTCGGAAATCCCTATACATCTTTGTTGCTTCGGGATGGATAGAGAACCTCGACTTGTGCACCTCCTCCATCAGAAACTGATGCGCACCACCCTAATAAGGAACCCACACCCTCCGATGGAGTGTCAATAACCCTCGGCTATCATAATCAAAGGATGCAACTTGCCCCAAAATGTGCTCAATATTTCAGTGCTCTTCCTTCATAGCCTCAACCTGAGCCTCTCGAACCCGCTCCAAGAGTGGAGTAATCACTGTCATCCTCAAACATATATCCCTGATCGGAGCTGCGACCACCTTACAGCTAAGGGCATCAGCGACCACATTGGCTTTCCCCGAATGATAAAGGATCTCACAATCATAATCCTTCACCACTTCCAACCACCCACGCTGACTCATGTTCAGATTCGACTGGTCCATCAAATACCTCATGCTCTTGTCATCCGTTGTAATGCCCCATTTTCGTGATTTTTATTTATTTATTTATTATTTTATTTTAACAAAATAGGGTTTAGCGAATTAAATGGTGGCTATATAAATTAGAAGGCTAAGTAAAATAAATAATAAAATAATAAATGTTAAAAATATAAACTTAATAGATTTTGATATTTAATAACGATAATAAATAAAGTAAAACAATAATTATTAAGTACAAATTAAACATATAACTATAGGGTTTAAATTGTAATTATCAAGAAATCAGTTTTGATGAGGTATTTCAATATAGGATAGATTTTGTCATAAGGCTAAACCCGAGGGACTATATCTGCCAGATCTCGGTTTCTATATTTCTTCTTTCCCTGCTACCCGACAGGAACTGGTGTTTCCTTCTCTATTTTGTATTGTGTGGGAAGCACGTCTTCTTGAAGGAAATCTGTTGTCCAACCTCAACTTCTTGTATATATATTATTGTAAGGAGAGCTAGGGTTAGGAGGTGAGCCGCACAAAGAAACCTTAAGAGGAAGGGTGAAGCTGCCATTGCCATGTTTCATCCCCGACGTCAGCTCTCGCCGGAAACAACCATAGAGAGAGTGAGAGAGATAGCAACGAAGGGCTCCAGGCGCGGTGTTGATTTCGGGTTTAAGGTCATCGTTTCTGACCTGTTCGATTGGGTTTATCATCGAGTGTTATAAGGGATGCAACCACTAGTCTATGACATCAGTCAAAACTCTCACTGGATCGTTAGTTGAGAGAAAGAGGTGGGGATAGTTTAGCGAGAACGGGGTCATTCCGTCAGCACCAGCTCTGCGCGACACCGTGAACTTGGTGGGGATGTGCCTTCCGGTGGCTACGTCATCCTCCGCCAATTTTGTGGGACTCCGATGAATCCCATATGTTCTCCAGAGTAGTAAAGGCAGGTAAGGCTCAGTTTATACTTTAATTTCTTATCTCTCACCGGTGACTTCAATTAGAGAGAGACTAGTTGATGAGTTTTGATTCCGTTTTCTCGGCCTAATGCTTTTCCGGCGACTGTTATGGGATCTCCAGATGCAGCAGTAGGGAAGAAGACAAGGTACTAGTCTCCGATGGCAAGAAAGAAGGTGGGGAAATCGATATCTGTCGGGGCGTGGGTTTGCAGAACTCATAACTTGGTCGTGGAGTTACGTTTCCTGGTGAGCGAAGAATTCAACCACCGTCGAAGGAATTCTCTTGTGTGCCGCCTGGAAGCTAGGTACGCTAATCGAACTCATGTTGGGCTTTAATGGGTTGGTGAGTATAAGTTAGCTAATGAGCCTTATGTCATGGTTTTGTATTTTAACATATGGGCTGATGTTAATAACCCAATTGATAAGGGAAATGTTCAAAGAAGAGTATAAATGGACTTGAAGATCATCTATGGACTAATTAAATATTGAATTAATTGATAGAAATGTTATAATCCTATCAAAGTTGATGATAAGAATAAAATATCAAATATATATTTACATAAAATAAAATCCATGGATCGGCTTTAATGGGTCATAACTTGCATCTTATTAGTATATGGAAGAATAACCATTGTGTTATAAATATGAGATATCATTTCATTGAACTCAGGTGTAACTAGTTCTAAATCAATATAGAGCTAAAAGTCAATGAATTATATGGGGATTGAATATCTAATATTAATTATTTAGGATGTCTGGTGAGTTCAAATGTTGACCATGTAGAGGTTTGGGCCCAATTTTGGAAAATTGGGCCATATGTTGGGCCTTGATTTATTATTTGGCTTTCGGGCCTCCAGAGTTTGAGTTTGGGCCTTGGCTTTGGACCAAGCTAGGTTGGGGGTAAAATGGTCTTTTTACCCCAAGTATGGAGTTATGGTTATGCATTGGAATCCAATTATTAATTGGGTATTGTTTTGATATTGACAGCTCGGGAAGCTGTCATCCAGTAGTCTGGGATTTCGTCTGCAGGACTTCAACAGTGCAAGGTGAGTTACCTTCCAGTAGAAGTGGGTCTACGGCCACAATGTCGGCCCACTAGTAGGGATTGTTTGGCGAGTAGTTGTCTTTGTGATAATTACTTGGGTTTGTCACTACCTGATACGTTTTATGTGCTAGCATGATATGATGTTATGTGATAGTGGTAGTAGGGGGAATAGTCCTTGGTTATCGGTCGGTAGGGCTGAAGAGGTAGTGTAGTACCCAACTATGCTTGACAGATTATGATATATGTGATATAATATTATGTGGTAGTAGTAGGGGGTGAAATAGTCCCCGGTTATCGGTCGACAGGACCGAAGGGGTAGGTTGGGCACCCAGATATGCCTGAGAGGGGTAGGTTGAGCACCCCGGTATGCTCAGTAGGGTAGGTCGGGCACCCAAATATGCTTGACATGGGGTAGGTCGGGCACCCCGGTATGCCTGACAGTATGTGAATTGTATGGTATGTGGTATAATAGGGGAACTCACTAAGCTTCGTGCTTATGGTTTACAGTTTTGGTTTCAGGTACATTGTTTCAAAGGAAAGGAGTCGGCTTGATCGCAGCACATCACACTATGTTTTCCGCACATGAGATCTTTGGGATTACACTCTAATATGGTTTTATGATAATATGTTTTGATTATTGACACTTTGGTTTTGACAGGAGATATCAGTATGAATGTTTTTATACTGTTGGTTTTATATAATAACTTAATTAAAATGATTTTTTTTTGGTTTTAAATTTTGGGATGTTACAAGTTGGTATCAGAGCCTTGGTTTGAGGGATTCGGGCACACTCTCGGGCATGTATGGACTCAAACTAAGGACTTGGTATGGAAATCTTCAAGAGGAAAATCATTTTCTAAAAAGAATTTTGAAAAGAGAAAAAGGATCTTTGAAAAGAACAAGATGTGTGATGCGTGCAATCAGCCGAGCTCAAGTAAATTTTCCCCAAGATACCCATACATGTGATGATATGTGATGTTATGATAGGATTATGAGAACTACATGCTAGATTAGGGCAGAGGATCTAGTAGGATGCCTTATATGCCTATTGTATGTGCTTATAGACTTGAATGCTAGTACTGATCAGTCATTGATAGGATAGCCTGTTTAGGTTATGCCTGATTGTATGAGCCTTTGAATTGCATGTATAGGTTCCTAATTAGAGGATAGAGCGATTTGATTGGATTATGATGGTTAGAGTTTCCATTGTCTGAATGCTGTTTGCTTTGTGCTTTGTGAGACTCTTAGTGATGTGAGTTAGGTACTAAGTGAATATGCTAAGTCACATAGGACACAGGTCGGATAATCTCAGAGTGGTGGACTTGACCCTATTGTGCAGCTCTTTTCTGAGTCCAACCGTTCTAGGGATGGGTCTTTTACTCGAAGGATTATCTGATATCTGTTGCATGTGGCTATATTCATGAGGTAGCTAGTTGACATTACTAGGAATCTTTCAGCAGCTGAGGACTGGGTGGGTTCGGGAACCTAGGAAAGCCTAGGATATGTTTTAGTGGGTTAGTAGTGAGGTTCAGTGAGACTTGGGTGTACCAGTTTGAGGAAGTGACTTGGAGGATTCGAGAGGATTGCTGAGGAAAGTATGGATAAGTGTGGAAGGTAGTATTGGGCCCGTACTAAAAAGCACAGGATCCATACTCGAATCGGTGAGAGTGTTGGAGAATCTGAGAAGCTTCGGGGAGAAGTTTGTGACCCGGTTTGGGGATAGAGGATGTTCCAGTTGTTACAGCTCAGCCACTGGCAAGTGAGCTAGTGAGCGTGACAGGGTGTCAGACCCTGAAGGATATGATTTCCAAGAGGTTGCAGATGCGAGATCGATTTGGAGCACTTTGGGAAGAGAGGGTCGTGACAGGTGCGTATAGTAGAGGGTCCCGGGAAGAGACCCAAGACTTCTGATCATCGGGTGAAGAGGGTAGTGTCAGTTGCGGGTGTTAGATGCATAAGTGGTTGGTCATTGGATGTTCAAGAGAATTGTACTTTCGCATGGGCTGTGTTTGGTTAGAGTTCAGTGGTGCTACAAGATTGGAAGTAGGAATGAGGATTCGTCAGCCAGAGTGAAGATTAAGGCCTTCAGTTGACAGCATGGGAGATGGACTGAGGTGTTAGACTGGATCAGATTTCAAGAGTACTCATCAAGATTTCTGAGGATGGGCGATCTTAAGGTTTAACCGGTGATTAATCGCTAGCATTGGTAAGCACAGGTTGTCATCAGTGGGAATGAGGATTCGTCACCTAGAGTGAAGATTAAGGCCTTCAGTTGACAGCATGGGAGATGGACTGAGGTGTCAGACTGGATCAAATTTCAAGAGTACTCATCAAGATTTCTGAGGATGGGCGATCTCAAGGTTTAACCGGTGATTAATCGCTAGAATTGGTAAGCACAAGTTGTCATCAGTGGGATATTAGATAGCGAGAAGGATTGGGAATCCTTCAATTCTCGCCCGTCGTAAAGACTTAGTCGAGTCTAAGTGGGGGAGAGACTTTTTGTAAAGTTCTCCAAATGTGAGTTCTGGTTGCGCAAGGTGCAATCTCTTGGGCACCTTGTCAACCAGAAGCGTATTCATGTCGATCCGGCCAAGATAGAGGTCGTGATGCAGTGGGAGATTCCGAGGTCTCCATCTGAGATTCGGAGTTTCCTGGGTCTAGCGGGTTATTACTGGAGATTTATAGGGGACTTTTCCGAGATTGCGGTTCCTTTGACCCGACTGACCAAGAATTCGGTGGCCTTTCATTGGGGGCCTAAGCAACAGGCAGCCTTCGAGACTCTCAGACAGCAGGTTTCGGGAACCATGTTAGAGCTCCAGTTAGGACTCAAGTTCAGTTGTGTGTTAGGTTGAGTGCGTGTTCGACCGGTATGGAGAGTGTTGTAAGACTGCGGGGGTAGCCGTAGCATTCACTATCGACTGACCAAGAATTCGGTGGCCTTTCATTGGGGGCCTAAGCAACAGGCAGCCTTCGAGACTCTCAGACAGCAGGTTTCGGGAACCATGTTAGAGCTCCAGTTAGGACTCAAGTTCAGTTGTGTGTTAGGTTGAGTGCGTGTTCGACCGGTATGGAGAGTGTTGTAAGACAGCGGGGGTAGCCGTAGCATTCACTATCGATCAAATAGTATGGAGAGTGTTGTAAGACTGCGGGTGTAGCCGTAGCATTCACTAGTGGCCAGGTAGTGTGGGAAGTGTTATAAGTCTGTGGGTGTAGCCGTAGCATTCACAAGGGTTGGCAGATAGTGCTAGAGTGTTGTAAGTATGCGGGTGTAGCCGTAGCATTCACTAGGTTGGTAGATAGCTTGAGCGCGTTGTTAGGACGCGGAAGGAACACGAGTACCCACCAGTTCGGGTGCAGCAGTGAGGATATGGAAATCCACAGATTGGATTACGGAATTACCCAGATGGGTTCGATCCGGTTGAACCAGCGATACGACCGTAGGAACGCCACTACGGTTAAGGGGACAGGGAAGCAATGGACCGTATGAGGTCGTTTGTGATATAAGGCTACCATTGGTCTTGTAGCAATCACTTTTAGCCTTGGATTTGGGTGATGTCAGGATTCGACACATGGATCTGATCGGTTGGATCAGGAGGTTGTTAGCGCCACGGTGGCATGATAACTAGTGTCAACTAGTTCCAGATAAGGATTCCGTTCAGAAGTCGTGTGAGACGACTAAGTGGGAGTCCTTTGGCTCCGCAGCCGGGCCGGAACCCAATATTTCAGACGATTTGCGAACGAATTGAGACCAAGGAGGTCTCGGTAGATTTTGGAAAGCAGCCATGTGGCACCACGCTATTTCAGGCAGCTCGGTGTTTCGGGCAGTTTCAGTGTTTTGGGCAGTATTAGTATTTGTGTTTTGGGTTGCAAGTACGGACTAGGTAACATATTGCTTGGGTTGTGCTAAGTCACTCACAGCGGGATTATCTGAGCCTTGGCCAAGTATAAGTGATCTGCAGGGATAATTGGGTTTGTGATCCTGTTTTATAGTGGGAACCTCAAGTCATCAGACGTTGGGTAGTCAGTTGAGGGATAAACGGACTGGATTCAATAATAATGATTCAGTATGAGTGGTCTGTCAAGGATTCAGACCATCTCGAGACAACAGATTTCGGATGGAGTAGATGTGCTCTCGTTGTGAGGAATTCGTTCACCTGCGGATTTAGGGCTTTACGAAGATTGGTCACGGCTACCCTGGGAAGGCTAGGGTGTGCCAGGATGGTGACCATGTTACTTGAGTGCTTTGGTGTGTCGGGAATGGTAAGGATTGATTTCGAGGATTTTTATTTATTTATTTATTATCTATTATTTATTTTAACAAAACAGGGTTTAGCGAAATAAATGGTGGCTATATAAATTAGAAGGCTAAGTGAAATAAATAATAAAATAATAAATGTTAAAATATAAACTTAATAGATTTTGATATTTAATAATGATAATAAATAAAGTAAAACAGTAATTATTAAGTACAAATTAAACATATAAGTATAGGGTTTAAATTATAATTATCAAGAAATCAGTTTTAATGAGGTATTTCAATATAGGATAGATTTTGTCATAAGGCTAAACCTGAGGGACTATATCTGCCAGATCTTGGTTTCTATGTTTCTTCTTTCCCTGCTACCCGACAGGAACTGGTGCTTCCTTCTCTATTTTGTATTGTATGGGAAGCACGTCTTCTTAAAGGAAATCTGTTGTCCAACCTCAACTTCTTGTATATATATTATTGTAAGGAGAGCTAGGGTTAGGAGGTGAGCCGCACAAAGAAACCTTAAGAGGAAGGGTGAAGCTGCCATTGCCATGTTTCACCGCCGGCGTCAGCTCTCACCGGAAATAACCATAGAGAGAGTGAGAGAGATAGCAACGAAGGGCTCCAGGCGAGGTGTTGATTTCGGGTTTAAGGTCATCGTTTCTGACCTGTTCGATTGGTATCATCGAGTGTTAGAAGGGATACAACCACTAGTCTATGACATCAGTTGGAACTCCCACTGGATCGTTAGTTGAGAGAAAGAGGTGGGGATAATTTAGCGAGAATGGGGTCATTCCGTCAGCACCAGCTCTACGCGACACCGTGAACCTGGTGGGGATGCGCCTTCCGGTGGCTACGTCATCCTCCGGCATTTTTGTGGGACTCCGATGAATCCCGTATGTTCTCCAGAGCAGTAAAGGCTGGTAAGGCTCAGTTTATGTTTTAATTTCTTATCTCTCATCGGTGACTTCAGTTAGAGAGAGACTAGTTGATGAGTTTTGATTCCGTTTTCTCGGCCTAATGCTTTTCCGGCGACTGTTTTGGGACCTCCAACAACAGCAGTAGGGAAGAAGACAAGGTACTAGTCTCCGATGGAAAGAAAGAAGGTGGGGAAATCGATATTTGTCGGGGCGTGGGTTAGCAGAACTCATAACTTGGTCGTGGAGTTACGTTTCCTGGTGAGCGAAGAATTCAACCACCGTCGAAGGAATTCTCTTGTGCGCCGCCTGGAAGCTAGGTACGCTAATTTAACTCATGTTGGGCTTTAATGGGTTGGTGAGTATAAGTTAGCTAATGGGCCTTATGTCATGGTTTCATATTTTAACATATGGGCTGATGTTAATAACCCAATTGATAAGGGAAATGTTCAAAGAAGCGTATAAATGGACTTGGAGATCATCTATGGACTAATTAAATATTGAATTAATTGATAGAAATGTTATAATCTTATCAAAGTTGATGATAAGAATAAAATATCAAATATATATTTACATAAAATAAAATCCATGGATCGACTTTAATGGGTCATA